AAGAAGCATTTTCAACAGGCCTTTTACACATAAAGCATGTTTTCACCATATTATTAGAGATAATAAATCTTAAATATACATTTACAACCCTTACAACGTTATAAATAATAACTTAGCAACGCTGATTAAATAAGCCAATTACAGAAGAGGTATTTTCCCCCTCGGGGGGAGTAGATGTTGCTAACAAAATTTAGCGCAGGGAAGGGGGGAAGACTCCCTCTAGTAGTAATTGCTCGGAGGTGTCAATGCTATGTTACTCCTGTCGCGAACTGTTTTCACAGTCATTTCTGAAAAGTCTACCTGAGAGTACGATGTTTTATAAAAAATTGTAAATGGATCATTCTTTTCACTTTTTATAATCCTGATATTGTTTAAATTTTCGCCTCCAACAAGATTTCCAATCTTCGAATTTAAAAGTTTTAGATCGAAAAAATCCTTAAAGGTTAGCTCCTTTACTTGAAATGTTTGCCAGTTTTTTTTGCACCTTGAATTAAAGTTGTGTACTCGCTAGGGGCTTGATTTTAAGTAACGCTTTGCTTGCCGTTCGATTACAGAATGGGCACAATCGCCCTCGTTCTGAGTATGTCCTGTTACAAGGAATTTATGGCATATCGATTTAATATTGGAATACTTTTTTAGTGCATACATGTACATAGAAATTATCTACTTATTTTTTTGCTGGTCAGCGCAATTATCTGAGAAAAAACGAATTCAAGATCATCGTCAGGTCTATTTGTGCATGTTTGCTCTATACAGCTCAGCAAGCAGGATCCAATCTCATTTGCCCCTCGATTGCCAGATGTCTCATCCAAGACATTCGTCTAATTTTGCGTTTCCTTTCATTTCATAGATTGTAAAATTCAAAACATTTAATTGACTTGTAATAGAAAAGGGACACATTTCCCTTAGGACATGTAGTTGTTGCTAATTCTTATTTTATCGTTGTTTTTTTTTTTCAAACGTAACAAATCCTTTTCCATGATGTGATTTTCATATTAGGTCATTAGTTCCTCTTTTTGAGTGTCTGAGGCATTTTCATAGGAAACACGAAACGCACATTGGTCAGCTAGCGATTTACCAACTTCTATGTATTCTCGTGTAATGGTTTTCGATCCGAGGAATGCTATTTATGTGACGTATCATTTCTTTTCTAATGTTTTCATCAAGTTTTGAGTGCCTTTGATGTCTTCCTCTACGAACATTTTTTAATATTCTAACTTCCGAGCGCTTTTCCACAACTGTACGAATTGGTCTGTCTGTGATAGCCAATGTAGATTTATAGTTTCATTTAACGTGAAATAAAATCCATTATTATCGCTTAACTTCATGGGCATAGTACTGATATCTGGGTTTCATTGCAACCATACAGGAGGATATAAAGTTGCGCTGTTTATCAGCATCACCAAGACCCCAGTATTCTTGAAAAATCTATTAAGAGAACATTTGGTATATTTAAGTAGCATTTAAGCCTACATGTATTGTTGCAAAGGGCTCCCATAGTTCTTTCATTCATTGGTTTATTAGTTGTAGACGATACGTATGCTTTTCCTTGATCTTTTAACTTTTTCGCCAAATTTTTCTTCCATGTTGATTTATCAGCTTTACGTTTTCTAAAAGTAGGTTATATTATTAGTTGTTTTTACGTGTTATCTAAAAAATGCAATTTTTTGAGTTATTACCTTCTTCTATAAAGGGAGTGATATATAGTCAGGAAGGAGGAATCCTAAATGACCTTGGAATCGCGATGTTATCTAATTTTGACAGTGAACTAGACGAATTCTATTTGTGTTCGTTTTTGTAAATAACTTTGTAATAAATTATATAGGGCGCATCACATTCATACAATAAACTTCTATTATACGAAAAAAACGCACATGATATAGTTAGTAAAGAGTTTATTTACTTATGTACTTCAACCGGATCACAATCTGCTTTAAAATGACGTGAACACAAAAAATTAAGATATTTTGGCTCACAATTTGTTTGTTGCATGAACTCAAGCCATAACTATGTTTTTTGAGATTCTTTAGGAAATCTGAAAATTGTCTACCTGGGATTAATTTATATAATTTGTAAATCTAGAATCTTCAAGAAAATTGTTTACTTGCAATCAATTTATAAATCTAAATTGAACAATAATTTATTCATTTTAACAACCTCATAAATATCTTAAAATTGCATAAAAGAATTGTTAAAATAAAAGTATGTATACCCTATAAACCATGAGACTACGCCTATGAGCACAGTTAAGCATAGACGCACTTACCATGTTTGTTTACAAATTTAAAACATTAAAAATTTTAAAAATCTTTAATGTGGTTAAAATTGAGAAAACCAAATACTTGTTTATGAAATGTAGATTATTCCTTTCTACTTTTAGCTGTGCTGCTATATTCATAAAACGAACAACTCACCATATTGTCTTGTTTGTCTTTTAACGCGAAAAAATTTAAAATTAACAGCAATACTAAATAACAAATACTAACACTAAACGCTTTTTAAAAATGTCTACAAAACATACGCTTGATAAAAGTTTAAATTAACACATAAAATATCCAAATTATTAACAAATTTTAATCACTAAAATCCATAATACAACATGACTACCACTTCCGTTAGATCGTTTAAATTAACGCGGACATAACATGTTCCTTTTCCTGACTATATATATTCTAAGAAATTTATCATGGAATTATTTAAAGCCAGGATTTACCCTTCCTTCTATTGCTGTCAATACAATGAAAGATTTTTCTCAGGAGTCAATTATTTTTGTTCATTCCTCATTCTAAAACATGACATTTTTATCACCTCCTCAATAAGAGTATCTGTTACACCCGTGTAAAATAAAATCCTTGTCCAGGATAAACAAACGTTTATTCCAATAAAATTGCAGCAATAAATCCTCGTCTGCCCCCTTCGCCCCCTCGAACTCATCTAAAACAAATTACACCTATCGATTGGCGGTGGTGAATTTACTTGTTAAAGCGTTGTTATGGCAACCGCCCACCTTTCTCAGATAAAAGCCGAGATCCTTATCGGAAATAACTGAGAAACCACCTGTTTGCCTACTACGATCCTACGAAGAGAAAAGGTAAGCAAGATTATTAGCAATTATCTATCCAGAGTGCCGGGGGAAAAAGCAGAATAATTCGTTGTTTATGGGATTGGCGATGATCCGGTAGTTATAGGGTTAATAATAACGGAGTTTTTTTTTTATTTAATTGTATTAAATTGTTCGTGTTGAAGTTAATGGTTGTTTCGCATGTGTTGCCTTTTTTTACTATTTATACGATTGATTGTTGTTTATTGAATTTTTCTTAATGACGGTACAATAAATTATTAATATATATATATATATATATATATATATATATATATATATATATATATATATATATATATATATATATATTCATATAAAATTAGCGAATACTCTGTATAATCTCATACTATTCGGTATTGTTATAATGGGAAAAGCGAGGGCCATTCAAATATAAAATATAATAAAGAGAATTCCATTTAAATAAGCCTAACTTTAATATGTTTCACTTTTTTGGAGAACCCTGTATGACTAAAATTATTTTTAAATTATCTTTTCGGACATATATCTCGTGAAAACAAATAATTTTGGCTTTACAGACCGAAGCGTTACCTTACAAGGTTCATTTTGTAAAATTTTAAATAGATATATGTATAAAGACTTTCTGATCTTTTTTTTAGAGAAAATAAAATATTAAAAAGTTCCTAGGGAGAAACGTTTATATTCGTAAAAAGTATTTATTATTAAAATTAAAACCAATAATTACAAAATGTGGCAGTAACTTAAATGTCATTCGCAAATAAACATATTTTTTAACCATATTTGTTAATAATATATCGAATTATTTATTTAATTAAATTTCAAAACGCTCGTAAAAAAATTGTATTTATTCCGGTCCTGTTCTACTTCAACTGTTACAATAATACAAATAATTTAATAGCGCCATCTTTAAAATTACTTTGAACTTCTTACTGCACAGATTCCTTCTAACTGTGGTTAGGGCAGACCCCACTTTTGATCTGCATTGTCCCTAGCTGATTAGGTCAATTAATAATAAGCTTTTATTTAAAACCAAGATTTCAGGAAAACCAAACATTGTTTTGAAGTGAGATTTGTTTCATTTATTTCTTGTACCAATAATTGACACCCCTGTCAATGACTGAAACCAAAAGGCTGTTAGATCTTATATTTAAATGGTATATTGCAGACTTTTTAGACAGTATTACAACAGTGTATATCAGTATTTGCTTGTGAACCAGTGATTGACAGGGTATGTCAATCTGGAACATACTGGTTTTGTTTGTTCCAATTATTGACACTTTAACAAAAGTGAGGTTTTAGGATTTGCATGCATAAAAACCAGTAAAAACCCATCAGTTTTGTTTAATACACCCCCAGGAATAGTTTAAATAAAGTTAACATGAAGTGATAAGAAGTAGATATATTCAATTTGGTATACTGACCTTATGAAATGTCTTAAAATAATAAACAAAAAAATATAGAGTACCCAGTATAGTAAAAAGTTAGTAAAATAAAAACTAAACAATTGTATTTAACTGTATATTAATCACTAAAGAATTCTACTCCATTTTTGGAAGGTTCTTTGGTTCACCATATAATTGGACTAAAAGAATTAAAAATGTATTCTAATTTAAAAAACAAGATACAATTAAAATAGGTACTTGATTAAATTAATTTTTTTATGGAATTATAAAATGTGGATCCTCAAAAATAAATTAAATTTTCGTAATATTCTTATTTCCGAATTTTCTTATAATTTGCCTACACTATTGGAACAAATTCATCTAATAATTAATGATGTAGTAAATCTTTGATGTCAAAGTTCATTATGACCAACAGAATAAATAATCACTGTATTTAATGAGTAAATATGTCTTAGCAAATCAAAAATAAATATTATTACGTTTTATTATATTTGTATCTCTTATTTCCGATTTAGAATAATGGAAAATGGAGGAAATGGAAAGAAAATAACATCGTTATGGAATATAAAGGATGTGAATATAAAAGGAACGTGGAGTGTTATAAAAAAATTTAAATATGAAGACTTGGTTGGATTTCTTTATCAACCCAGGGATCCTTCGAGTTTAGGAGTAATACGATTTTTGTTTGGTGAGTAAAATGTTTAAATATCAATATACAGGGTGGTCTATAACAGTTACAATGTTTAAAAAAATTAGTAGAGCTTATGGTTGTTGTCTTTGAGTATATAGATTGTCACCAAAAGGGATGAAAAATATATTTTTTGTATCTGGTCTTAAATTCATTTGTAAATATTGTACAAATAACTTAATAATATAGAATGTTTTACAAAATTATAAAATAATAAAGGTTAAAAGACAAATAGGTTAATATAAATAAATGGACATAACTTTTGATTCTACTATTGTGAATTTGTTATTTTTCTTTTGATTTATAATAAGTAAGAAGGTTTTAAGTTTTTTTATATATAAGTTTATTGAATGTCAAATTTAATTTCAGATGATAAAGCAATACTAAATTCATCCAAAATTGTTTTTACAAATAGATTACTAAATTCTAAAATTAAAAAAAAACAGATTGTTTCATTTATAAAAAACTGGCGTATTTATTTAGAATAGCGAACAGTGTTTTTTAAACCTAAGAAAGAACTATTACGTTATCAAAATCAACAAAGTAAGTAATATTTGCAAAATTATTAATACCTACTATCTGTCGCAAATGAAATGTCAAGAGGAAGGTTAAAAATATTTATAAAAAAAGGAAATGACTCGTAGAATTCGTTAAATATCTTCCATCAAAAAAGCCGGCTGACTTTCACTGGAACAACGTACACAAAGCACATCCATAAATGTGGCTCGAAGGACCAAAATGGTTTTTATATTTAAATTTAATTAAGTGGACTGTATTTTCTAACAACAGGTGCCGTCAGTGGCGTGTTAGAATATTCAACAACTTTGCTTCGTGTACATCAAAATTACTGACGTCAGTTTCGGTGAAATTGTAATACACACACTATTTGTCACAAAAAACGATTTTCGATGAGATTTCTGTCAACATTTGGTAAAGTAACGTTAAAATCCAGAATCCATTTTATTACAAATATATTTTATTTTTGCGTTTTGTTTTGATAGAAAAAAGGACCAACCCGTGACAACATTTTTCGTAAAAAAATACTTACTTTACTGCAATTGCCATATCACGTGATCTATTCCACTAGACTGACTATTTTATAGGGTGGAAATTGTTGACAGTTGATAAAACAAACAATAAATTACCACTGTGGGGTTATTTTAAAACTCAAGAGAAAGTGAATTATTTCAACATTTTTATTAGAAATTTTATACGTCAACGTGGAAACAATATTTTTAAAGAATTAAAGTTTAAAAGTAAAATATTTTTGTTCAAAATACTCTCCCCTCTCTTTGTAACACCACTGGCCAAAGCCAGACTTACATGAGAAGCAAACAGCGTTTACATTTGGGTTGCTTCGAGTGTACCTATTTGTAAACCTAATTTATTTTGTAGGTTTTTTAATGCTATTGGACTTATCAGAAGAAAGAGGTGGAGCAGACATAGATACAAGATGGGGAGATCCAAAAGATTGTCATTTCCCGTTATTTTCCTCTTTGACCAATCCAGGATATGTCAAAATTTCCTTTGTTTATTTATTAATGTGGTTAGGTAGGTTAATCGTCTATTTTTCTTATAAAAACAATTAAGGTCTCTAATATTTAATGTTTGTATAAATTTGTCAAACTATATACGTTTGTAAATTTTTCAGGTTGTTGTGGAATAATGTTGGGCTACAAATTCAGAATAAGCATTTTCCTATTTGGAATTCCCTATTGGTACCTTCTCCTATTGGATAAGTCATTCTGGAACAACCACAGCTATCTGTTTGGAATCGTCACTATTTTATTGATGGGCTCATCGGCAAACCATTTTTTGTAAGTTAAAAACTGTAATAAAATCAAGATAATACGTCATAATAATTTAGGAAACAAGACACTTTTGTACTTGTAGGAAATTCACTCTCACGTTCTGTTAATAGTAACAAAATTGTGTAATTTTAAAGATTAAAAATGTCGACCCCGAAACTAGTCACTTGTTGTAGGTTAGAAAGTAACGAGATGTGTTGAGATATTGGTACTAAAGCGAGAACAAAACAAAGTGTGTTTTACTCGATGCTCGAGTGAAACATTTTTTTAAATTTGATTGATATAATTGCAATTTTACTTCTTTTTTCAGGTCGATTGACAGCTATATCGATCCATCAATACGAAACGCTGATGTGCCATATTGGAATTATTTTATTTTAAAATACCAGTTTTTTCTGTTATATTTTTTGGCTGGTCTCAAAAAAACAGATATGGAATGGTTGGAAGGCTATTCAATGAGCCATTTGGGAGAGCATTGGGTTTTTTCTCCCTTTAGGTATGAATAAAAATATTCATTCTGTGATTTCTTCCAATTTAAAAAAATGTTTTTTAATTTTTTAGATTTTTGTTGTCCTCTGAACAAATTGATTACCTTATAGTACATTGGTTCGGATTTTTATTGGATTTAACAATAGGATTTTGGATGTTGATAGAAATTACCAGACCCGTTGCAATGTTATTTTGCGCCTCTTTCCATTTGATGAATTCTAGACTTTTCAGCATCGGTAAGTCAACATAAATTATTTTGTGGTTTAGTTGTTATTAATACCTACTACGTGATGTTTCACACGCATTAAAGAGGCAATATATTTAGCTTGTTAGTCTGTTTGTTAGCCATTTTTTAAGCAATTTGGTTTCTTATTCGATATACAAATGGAATTAAAATGTAGGCTTAGTATTTTGGTATTATTTTCATCTCTACTAAATGATCTTAAGTATATTTTATAGATATTTAAATAAATCTTGCATATTAAGTTATTTCGAGGAAATTAAATGTCAAAATTAGATTCTTTTGGGTGTTAGTCAATTGGAATTAGGTTTTTAATGCGTAGAGAAATAGAAATCCTGATAAAAATAAAAACTTTGACTTCTTTTGACACAATTTCACTATGAACAGAGATGAGAATGATCGGAAGCAGGCATTATATATACATATATACATTTTTCGGCGTCCTTTCCCAGTTTACCCATAAACGATGCGTTTTTATAAAAAAAATTACTAGACTTTTTTGAAGAACAATAATTTTCTATCGATTATGTGAGGATTATGTAGCTGAGTCGCTGTCTGCCTTGTAATTTGAGGGTGTGTCCTACTAATGTTCTAGAATCAACGAGAGTGAAATTTATTAAATTATTTTGTAGTTTGTTTGTTATTAATACTTACTACGTGATGTTTCACACGCGTTGAAGAGGCAATATATTTAGCTTGCTAGTCTTTTTCTTATTTCTTTAGCAATTTTGTTCTATACAAAAGGAATTAAAACGTGGTCTACCTGTAGCCTTGCTTAGGCTCAGTATTTTGATATTATTTTCATCTCTACTAAATAATCTTGAAAATATTTTATAGATAAGTAGCTAAATCTTGGATTTCGAGGAAATGTCTGGTATAAATAAATTTGATAAAATATTTCGATATGAACGTTAATTAAAACTTTTGTGTCAACGTTATAATTGTTCTGGGTTTTATAATAGTTAGTAAACTGGAAGTTTTTAATTCAGATTCGACACAGGTATTTCAAAATGTGTTCATAATTACGTTATGGTTTCCCATTAATTAAAATCAAACACCCAAAGCCTAATGAGCTAACTTTTGTTAAAAGTATCTCAAAATGTTCGTATATAAAACAGTAACACTGTTTCAGTACCAGGGTTATTCATAATTCAGTACACAATAGAAAAGGATGAATGGAAAAGAATAGAAATCTAAAAAAATCGATATAGAATTTATAAAAACAGGGAACTCATTTGTACTTGTAAAAATTAAAAATTGAAACCAACAAACCGAAAAAAAACTCTTTTTTACCTTCGATATTCCTCTTGATCCCACCGGAACTCTCATTTCGCATCCGCCAGGTTATGTTTATCGTCATTGAACGATAATAATTTGCTGCTTTTAAAATGGTCCAGTTAAACAAACCAAAAGGACATTATTTATTATTTCCAATCAAGGGGGACCTTTTTTTTATTACTTAAATACGATTCTATACAACACCGTTTTGAATATTCATAAACTTATTTAGGATATGTCATCTTTAACTTCTAAAATACTCAGATACCAATTTTAGTCGAAATCTTTCAATGTATACAGGGTGTATCAATGAAAAGTCCCAGGCCGAATATTTTGGTAAAAAATAGAGATATTTTAATTCTGTAGAAACCAGTTTGCAAAATACTAAGAGAGCTTCAGTACCAGATACAAACTGATTTTAAATAAATCAATATGTAGATGGCGCTGCGCTCAATAATTTTTTTTCGATGGGAAGATCTTTTTTATGTAGCGCTTTTTGTAAAAGATTAATTTTTAAACAGATTTTGCTCTATAAACTAATTCGATAAATATAGCCATTTTTGATACACAGAGTGGGCCACTAAAAACAGTTCCACTTTGTTATTTGGCATTATTCATTTTATTTTAAGAAAATGCTAAAACAGGTCGATTTTTAATTGAACACATCTGTCATATGTCAACCCCCTTCATCATGCTTCTTCAACCCCTTAATTTTAAATAGGAATAGTACCATGTATACATAATTAGATTCAAAAATATGACTGCTTATTGGGTTATTTTTAATTTATCGCCCTCTAGCGGAATAAAAAACTAATACGTATTATAAAGTTTTATTTTATGAGGCACAATAAATGGTTTTGTTATTGGCCCACACATGTAGCAGAACTGGTGCACGTTATCTGCAATTTTTGCAAAATGATTTACCAGAACCGTTACAGAATTTACTAATTCAGTTAGACATGATGTGGTTCCACGAAGATGGAGCAGGAAAGATGGGGAAATCAAAAATATGACGGTTTTTGCGATACTTTTAATTTTAGCGGGATAAAAAACTAACTGTAACACTTCATTTGAAAGGTAATTTATTTACGAATTCAATGCATTAATATAAATATCTTTATATTGCACTTGCAATAGTTTGAAAATTAGTCATACATTAGTTTTAACATTATTACTAACTTTATTGTGTTGCAAGTGCAGTATGAAGATGTTTAGATTAATGTTATGTAATCCATTGAATTAGTAAAAAAAATAGCTTTCATATGAAGTGTCACACTTTATAATACGTAATCATTTCTTATTACGCTAGAGGGCGCCAATATTAAAAGTTCATATTTCTGATTCTCACATAAAATTACCTTTTCAATGACTTGTCCTATATAGTACATTTCATATTTAAAATTAAGGGCTTAGAGAAGTGAATAGAAAACAAATGTTTGTATTGTAAAAATGTGTTCAATTTGGAATAAAAATCGATTTATTTTAGCATTTTTTAAAAATGCGATGAATAAGGCCAAATAACAGGGTGAAACTGTTTTTAGTCGCGCACTCTGTATATGGAAAAATTTCTAGATTAATCGAATTAGTTTTCTAAAGCCCCAACAATTTCCCCTATCGTAACAATTTTTCTTAATTCCCCTACAATTTTCCCCCATTTTTGCAAAATTACTCGTTCCCCCCACAAATCCCCCTTATTTCTTCACAATTTTCCCAAATTCCTCCATAATTCTCCACAATATTCTCAAAGTCCTACACAATTTCGCAATCATTACAATTTCTCCCAATTCCTGCCATAATTTGACTTAATTTCCCCCAAAATTCCCTCACGCCACAACAATTTAATTCCCCAAAATGCCCCATCCTCGCACAATTTTCCCAAAATTTCTCCTATTGCAACAATTTTTCTCAATTCCCCTTACAAATTTCCCCCATTTTTTGCAAAATTCCTCGTTCCCGTTACAAATCCCCCTCATTTTCTTACAATTTACCCAAATTCTCCCACAATTCTCCACAATGTTCTCAAAGTCCTACACAATTCCGCAATTATCATAATTTCCCCCAATTTCTGCAATAATTTTACTTAATTTTCCCCAAAATTCCCTTACGACACAACAATTTTTTCCCTAATCCCCTAAAATTCCCCATCTTCGCACAATTTTCCCAAAATTTGCCCTACACAATTCCACACAATTTTACCTTCCACAACTTCCCCTATTGCAACAATTTTTCTCAATTCTCCTTACAAATTTCTCCCATTTTTTGCAAAATTCCTTGTTCCCGTTACAAATCCCCCTCATTTTCTTACAATTTACCCAAATTCTCCCACAATTCTTCACAATGTTCTCAAAGTCCTACACAATTCCGCAATTATCATAATTTCCCCCAATTTCTGCAATAATTTTACTTAATTTTCCCCAAAATTCCCTTACGACACAACAATTTTTTCCCTAATCCCCTAAAATTCCCCATCTTCGCACAATTTTCCCAAAATTTGCCCTACACAATTCCACACAATTTTACCTTCCACAACTTCCCCTATTGCAACAATTTTTCTCAATTCTCCTTACAAATTTCTCCCATTTTTTGCAAAATTCCTTGTTCTCGTTACAAATCCCCCTCATTTTCTTACAATTTACCCAAATTCTCCCACAATTCTTCACAATGTTCTCAAAGTCCTACACAATTCCGCAATTATCATAATTTCCCCCAATTTCTGCAATAATTTTACTTAATTTTCCCCAAAATTCCCTTACGACACAACAATTTTTTCCCTAATCCCCCAAAATTCCCCATCTTCGCACAATTTTTCCAAAATTTGCCCTACACAATTCCACAAAATTTTACCTTCCACAACTTCCCCTATTGCAACAATTTTTCTCAATTCTCCTGACAAATTTCTCCCATTTTTTGCAAAATTCCTCGTTCCCGTTACAAATCCCCCTCATTTTCTTACAATTTACCCAAATTCTCCCACAATTCTCCACAATGTTCTCAAAGTCCTACACAATTCCGCAATTATCATAATTTCCCCCAATTTCTGCAATAATTTTACTTAATTTTCCCCAAAATTCCCTTACGACACAACAATTTTTTCCCTAATCCCCTAAAATTCCCCATCTTCGCACAATTTTCCCAAAATTTGTCCTACACAATTCCACACAATTTTACCTTCCACAACTTCCCCTATTGCAACAATTTTTCTCAATTCTCCTTACAAATTTCCCCCATTTTTTTGCAAAATTTCTCGTTCCCGTTACAAATCCCTCTCAATTCCACACAATTTTCCCAAATTCTCCCACAATTTTCCACAATTATCTCAAAGTCCTACACAATTTCCCCCAATTCCTGTCATAATTTTACTTAATTTCCCCCATAATTCCCTCACGCCACCACATTTTTTCCCCTAATCCCCCAAAATGCCTCATCCTCGCAGAATTTTCTCTACCAATTTTCCCCCAATATCTCCTCATTTCGTTTATTAATTTCCTTCATTCCCCACTTTATAGAAAAAAATCTGTTTAAAAATGCATCTTTTACAAGATGAGCTACATAAGAAAGATCCTAATAAAATCTGGAAAGACGTCTTTTTCATGATTGTAATACTTTCTTCTAACCGAAGAATCTCACAAATTTCTTTACAATTCCACACATTTTTTTAGAGTCCCCCGCAATTTTCCCTATCGTAACTATTTTTCTGAATTCCCCCTACAACTTTCTCCCATTTTTTGCAAAATTCCTCATTCCCCTCTCAAATCCCTCTCATTTTCTAACAATTTTCCCAAATTATCCACACTTTTTTCAAAGTCCTCCATAATTCTGTAATCACCACAATTTTTTCCAATTGTAGCCATAATTTTACTTAATTTCTCCCAAAATTCCCTCACGCCACCACAAGTTTTTCCCCTACTCCCCCAAAACTTCTCCATCCCCGCACAATTTTCCCCACAATTCTCCACAATTTTCTTAAAGTCCTACACAACTCCGCAATAATTACAATTTCCCCCAAATCCTACCATAATTTTACTTAATTTCCCCTAAAATTCCCTCATGCAACCACAATTTTTTCCCTAATGTCCCAAAATTCCCCCATCTCTGCACAATTTTCCCAAAATTTCCACCACCAATTTTCCCCTAATATTTCCTCATTTCGGCCACAAATTTCCCACATTTTCCTTTTTTATATAGAAATAAAAAAACATCATTGTTTTTTAGGTATGTTTCCCTATGTATGCCTAGCGACGATGCCGCTTTTTTGCGAAGAAACATGGCCGAAAAAGATACTTTCAGTATTTAGTAAGAAGGAATTGGATTCAGTACCTAGTCAGTCTTGTATTTATAAGACGTCTACAAAAGATAAACACCTACCGACGAGATCAAAATGGAAACAAAAAATTGTAACGATGTTACTTTTATATCACTGCGGGTTGCAACTATTTTTACCTTACTCTCATTTCATTACAAAAGTAAGTTTGAAGGCATTTAAACTATACATAGATACTTAAATTTTTATATCCCTTTCAGAAAACTTCATATTTAACATATTCATTCCAATATTCACTTTAATTTTACATGAACTCATTAAACATCCCTCGTATACAAAGCTTCAATTAAAAATCTATTTGGCAATTAAAGCCCGCCCGCTCTTGACCCAGCGTTTTAAAAATAATCCTTCGTCCTCCAGAGACAAAACAAACGAGCGCGTTGCAAACATGTCCTGGCGTTTTAACTTTGTTTTTTTTATTTTTTATTTCTTTATGTTTTTTTTTTCATCCTCTTGTGCGGAAACGAAACGAAACTTTGCAGCAAAAGGCATTAAAATTACATGATGCAGTAGATGTTTGCTTTATTTATCTAATTAGAGAATTAGAGTGGACGCTTCAATGTGAAAATGTTATTACTGTGGGGGCTCATTAATGGAAAAAGCTTTAGGAGAAAATATGTTCGCTAAAGAGGATAATATAATTATCTGATTTTAATTGGGATGTGAATTTTTTGAATTAGGTCTTACCTTTAGATTTTTGCTATCGGGGACCTGCACGCATTGACTCTAAAGGGTGTGGACTGTATTTAAGGGTTGGTGTTTGAATATTCCGGGAGGTGTTACCGAGTCAGTACCGAATTACAATTTTTAATATGTGTGTACTTTGAAGTAATCGCGCAAAAACGACAAGTAGGACAGTACTCTTTTGAGGAAATATAGTTATTATGATGATAATAATTACTTTAAAATTAAATATATTAAATGAGTGAAGAGTTATGTAAAAAGAATAATGTTCCAGGGTTACAACAATTGGACAAATGGATTATACGGTTATTCGTGGGATATGATGGTCCATTCCTGGGACACAGTATTAGTTGTAGTGAAAGTGATTGATAACAAAACAGGAAAAGAACTATTTGTAGACGATGACGCTTTTACGACCAATGACAGATGGAATAAGCATGCTGACATGTGCGTTCAGTATGCTCAATGTCTTAAAAGAAATTTAGAAACTACATATAATAACGGTGAGATTTTTTATTTATAAATTGGTTTTTGCGAATATTATCACCATTAACACTATTATTATTATCATCATCATCATCATTTTAATCCTTTTCTTAAAGTAACGTCGGTATTTTTCTCCATACTTTCATAAAAGCAACCAATATCCCGGAAGGTTTCCTTTGTCTTGTCTTTCTTAGTTTTTTTATCAAGCAGCATCCATACCAATTGCTGATCCCTAGTTGGTTTTCTTCATAAATGATCAAAGAAATATTAGAAGATTAGAAGTTAGATTAAGACGAAGGCCAAAAGGAAGAGGCTGAAGAAGATGAACCAAAGAATTCGAAATTCCATACCATTTATTGATCCCTAGTTCAGTCATTTTTTTAAGTTTTTATGAAAGTTTGGAGAAAATATTTTTGGTATATTTTCCAAATAAAACACAAAATTTTCAGTCGTTTTTTAATTTAATTTTTTATGAAAGGTTGGAGAAAATATTTTTGGTATAATTTCCAAATAAAACTAAATTTTTAGTCATTTTTTAATTTAATTATTTATGAAAGTTTGGAGAAAATATTTTTGGTATATTTTCCAAATAAAACATTACATTTTCAGTCATTTTTTAATTTAATTATTTATCAAAGTTTGGGACAATATTTTTGTTATATTTTCGAAATAAAACACAAAATTTTTAGTCATTTTTTAATTTAATTTTTTATGAAAGTTTGGAGAAAATATATTTGGTATATTTTCCAAATAAAACGCTAAATTTTCAGTAATTTTTTAATTTAATTTTTTATAAAAGTGTTGAGAAAATATTTTCGAAATAAAACACTAAATTTTCAGTCATTTTTTAATTTAATTATTTATGAAAGTTTGGGAAAATATTTGTGATATATTTTCGAAATAAAATACAAAATTTTTAGTCATTTTTTAATTTAATTTTTTATGAAAGTTTGGAGGAAATATTTTTGGTATATTTTCCAAATAAAACACTAAATTTTCAGTCATTTTTCAATTTAATTATTTATGAAAATTTGGAAAAAATATTTTTGGTATATTTTCCAAATAAAACACTAAATTTTCAGTCATTTTTCAATTTAATTTTTTATGAAAGTTTGGAGAAAATATTTTTGGTATATTTTCCAAATAAAACGCTAAATTTTCATTAATTTTTTAATTTATTTTTTTATGAAAGTTTGGAGAAAATATTTTTGATATATTTTCCAAAAAAATCAACAAATTTTCAGTAATTTTTTATAAAAGTTTGGAGAAAATATTTTTGGCATATTTTTCAAATAAAACACAAAATTTTCAGTCACTTTTTAATTTAATTAATTATGAAAGTTTGGAGAAAATATATTTGGTATATTTTCCAAATAAAACACTAAATTTTCAGTAATTTTTTAATTTAATTTTTTATAAAAGTGTTGAGAAAATATTTTCGAAATAAAACACTAAATTTTCAGTCATTTTTTAATTTAATTATTTATGAAAGTTTGGGAAAATATTTTTGATATATTTTCGAAATAAAACACAAAATTTTTAGTCATTTTTTAATTTAATTTTTTATGAAAGTTTGGAGGAAATATTTTTGGTATTTTTTCCAAATTAAACACTAAATTTTCAGTCATTTTTCAATTTAATTATTTATGAAAATTTGGAGAAAATATTTTTGGTATATTTTCCAAATAAAACTAAATTTTTAGTCATTTTTTAATTTAAGTATTTATGAAAGTTTGGAGAAAATATTTTTGGTATAGTTTCCAAATAAAATACTAAATTTTCAGTCATTTTTTAATTTAATTATTTACGAAAGTTTGTAGAAAATATTTTCGGTATATTTTCCAAATAAATCACTATTTTTTTGAAAGTTTGGAGAAAATATTATTGGTATATTAATGATCCCTAGTTGGTTTTTCTTCGTGAACCATTAAAGAAATATTAAAAGTTTAATGGTATGGAAACATATAGAAGCCAAGAAAGATGTGAATATCGTTAAAAATAAAGATGTAGTAGAAGAGGAAGGGAAGAAAAAGAAGAACCATACTAATTGCTGGTCACCTAGTAATAGAAACCAAAATAAGAGGGAGAGAATAGAGTTAAATAGAAAGAAGAAATATAGGAACAAGAAGTTATATCCTCGTATAAATTCAAAACGAATCATCCTTTCTCCCTTTTAACTTCTTCTTTCTTACTCCCCCTTATTTTTTATTTCAATTATAATTACATTGTATATTTAATAGGATTATCAAGTATGGCATCTTCTGAAGTATCCGATATATCAATTTACGTCGACGTTTGGTGTTCTCTGAATAAACGTTTCCAACAACGCATGTATGATCCTAATTATGACTTACTTCAAGCCGACTGGTCTCCTTTCAGACAGGTGGAATGGTTGCTTCCAGTTTTGACGAAATATAACGATTTTAGAAGACGAATGGACGAAATTACCAAAGAAGTTTATTCCTGGTCGAACAGAAGTGATGTTTTGTTCATAGCTGATTTTCCAGGTCAGTATTATTAAAATCAAACCCTATATATATATATATATATATATATATATATATATATATATATATATATATATATATATATATATATAGGTCTTTTTACTCTATCTCGTTTAAGGTTTAAGATTTAAAGTACCGAAAAAATGTTGATGCCAAATTGTGACGAAAGTCGAGATACATACGAAAATTTTTAGTTTTTTCTGAAAATTTGTGTTAAAAAATCGGAAAATTTTAAAAATCATTGTTATTTATCTTCCTCAAACGGAAGAAGGGAATTTCCCAAAACGGATAAAAGCGAGCTGTGGCAAGTTGGTGGACAGACAACACGTTGCTGAAAAATCACTTTATCGTAGGAAAATTTAAAATTTTCCAATACAATCTGATAGAAAAATTGTTAAACGGAATTTTTTTTAAAATTTTTCAAAAATGTTCGGGTATTTTTTGATTTCCCTCTTCCCCTGTCCTAAAAAGCTTTTTATTTGACACATCAATTAACGCGTCGAGTCGAATAATTCTTCTTTAAGTTTTTTTGCTCTATCTACTCTATTAAGGAAAATTTTTCCCAAAAAATATTTTTTTTATAATGCTCATGTGACTTAATAACTAAATATCATTTTTTTCACATTATTTGTGTCAAATTTTTACAAAAAAGTTCCACAATATTAAAGATATCAAAATATTTTTCTCAGAAAGCTTGGAGAAAATATTTTTTTATAATGCCCAAATATTATTTGACTTTATAACTTATATATATTTTTTATAAAGCTCAAATATGTGACTATATGACTTAATATCATTTATTTCACATTATTTGTGTCAATTCTTACAAAAAAGTTCCACAATAAAAAAGATACCGAATTATTTTTATATGAAAGTTTGGAGAAAATATTTTTTTTATAATGCTCATGTGACTTAATAACTAAATATCATTTTTTTCACATTATTTGTGTCAAATTTTTACAAAAAAGTTCCACAATATTAAAGATATCAAAATATTTTTCTCTGAAAGCTTGGAGAAAATATTTTTTTATATTGCCCAAATATTATTTGACTTTATAACTTTATATATATTTTTTATAAAGCTCAAATATGTGACTATATGACTTAATATCATTTATTTCACATTATTTGTGTCAATTCTTACAAAAAAGTTCCACAATATTAAAGATACCGAATTATTTTTATATGAAAGTTTGGAGAAAATATTTTTTTTTTATAATGCTCATGTGACTTTGTAACTAAATATCATTTTTTTCACATTATTTGTGTCAAATTTTTACAAAAAAGTTCCACAATATTAAAGATATCAAAATATTTTTCTCTCAAAGCTTGGAGAAAATATTTTTTTATAATGCTCAAATATTAGTTGACTTTATAACTTTATATATATTTTTTATAAAGCTCAAATATGTGACTGTATGACTTAATATCATTTATTTCACATTATTTGTGTCAATTCTTACAAAAAAGTTCCACAATATAAAAGATACCGAATTATTTTTATATGAAAGTTTGGAGAAAATATTTTTTTTATAATGCTCATGTGACTTTATAACTAAATATTATTTTCTTCATATTGTTTGTGTCAAATCCTTACAAAAAGTTCGATAATATTACATACATATATCGAAATATTTTTATAGGAAAGTTTGGAGAAAATATTTTTTTTATAATGCTCAAATATTATGTGACTTTATAATTTAATATCATTTATTTCACATTATTTGTGTTAAATTCTTAATAAAAAGTTAAACAATATGGACATTTCCAGAAACTTTTAAATTAGCTGTCAAAGAAGGTTATTTAACCGGAAAATTGTTGGAAAAACATTTTAAAACGCATTTTTCATAAATTTTTGTAAAAACCGAAAATTTTCAAGGTTTTATTTAATTAAACCCCTCACAATGTGTCTCGTCGAGCCTAACAATTTTTCTTAAGGTATTTTTATATAAACAATATAAACAGTGTTCAGTTTATTTTTTGACTTCCTTTGTATGCTGTAAGAGAAAACTTAAATAAAATACGTAACTATTGGAATTCAGTTATAATTCAAACTTTTATCAAGAATAACTTTTTATGAAAAATCCAAAATAAAAAAGTTTGTTATATGCTGTAAAGTTTTTGAGTCTCACTGTATATAATAACCCCTAGTGTTATAAGCTGGATATGAATAGAACTTTAGAGTATATTTTTTAATAAAGCTTAAATATTATGTGACTTTATAACTTATTATCATTTTCTTCATATTATTTGTGTCAAATTTTCACAAAAAAGTTCCACAATATTAAAGATATCAAAATATTTTTCTCTGAAAGCTTGGAGAAAATATTTTTTTATAATGCTCAAATATTATTTGACTTTAAAACTTTATATATATTTTTTATAAAGCTCAAATATGTGACTATATGACTTAATATCATTTATTTCACATTATTTGTGTCAATTCTTACAAAAAAGTTCCACAATATTAAAGATACCGAATTATTTTTATATGAAAGTTTGGAGAAAATATTTTTTTTATAATGCTCATGTGACTTTGTAACTAAATATCATTTTTTTCACATTATTTGTGTCAAATTTTTACAAAAAAGTTCCACAATATTAAAGATATCAAAATATTTTTCTCTGAAAGCTTGGAGAAAATATTTTTTTATAATGCCCAAATATTATTTGACTTTATAACTTTATATATATTTTTTATAAAGCTCAAATATGTGACTATATGACTAAATATCATTTATGTCACATTATTTGTGTCAATTCTTACAAAAAAGTTCCACAATATTAAAGATACCGAATTATTTTTATATGAAAGTTTGGAGAAAATATTTTTTTATAATGCTCATGTGACTTTATAACTAAATATCATTTTTTTTCACATTATTTGTGTCAAATTTTTACAAAAAAGTTCTACAATATTAAAGATATCAAAATATTTTTCTCTGAAAGCCTGGAGAAAATATTTTTTTATAATGCTCAAATATTATTTGACTTTATAACTTTATATATATTTTTTATAAAGCTCAAATATGTGACTATATGACCTAATATCATTTATTTCACATTATTTGTGTCAATTCTTACAAAAAAGTTCCACAATATTAAAGATACCGAATTATTTTTATATGAAAGTTTGGAGAAAATATTTTTTTTATAATGCTCATGTGACTTAATAACTAAATATCATTTTTTTCACATTATTTGTGTCAAATTTTTACAAAAAAGTTCCACAATATTAAAGATATCAAAATATTTTTCTCTGAAAGCTTGGAGAAAATATTTTTTTATAATGCTCAAATATTATTTGACTTTATAACTTTATATATATTTTTTATAAAGCTCAAATATGTGACTATATGACTTAATATCATTTATTTCACATTATTTGTGTCAATTCTTACAAAAAAGTTCCACAATATTAAAGATACCGAATTATTTTTATATGAAAGTTTGGAGAAAATATTTTTTTTATAATGCTCATGTGACTTTGTAACTAAATATCATTTTTTTCACATTATTTGTGTCAAATTTTTACAAAAAAGTTCCACAATATTAAAGATATCAAAATATTTTTCTCTGAAAGCTTGGAGAAAATATTTTTTTATAATGCCCAAATATTATTTGACTTTATAACTTTATATATATTTTTTATAAAGCTCAAATATGTGACTATATGACTAAATATCATTTATGTCACATTATTTGTGTCAATTCTTACAAAAAAGTTCCACAATATTAAAGATACCGAATTATTTTTATATGAAAGTTTGGAGAAAATATTTTTTTTATAATGCTCATGTGACTTTATAACTAAATATCATTTTCTTCATATTGTTTGTGGCAAATCCTTACAAAAAGTTCGATAATATTACATACATATATCGAAATATTTTTATAGGAAAGTTTGGAGAAAATATTTTTTTTATAATGCTCATGTGACTTTATAACTAAATATAATTTTTTTCACATTATTTGTGCCAAATTTTTACAAAAAAGTTCCACAATATTAAAGATATCAAAATATTTTTCTATGAAAGCTTGGAGAAAATATTCTTTTAATAATGCTCAAATATTATTTGACTTTATAACTTTATATATATTTTTTATAAAGCTCAAATATGTGACTATATGACTTAATATCATTTATTTCACATTATTTGTGTCAATTCTTACAAAAAAGTTCCACAATATTAAAGATACCGAATTATTTTTATATGAAAGTTTGGAGAAAATATTTTTTTTATAATGCTCATGTGACTTTATAACTAAATATCATTTTCTTCATATTGTTTGTGGCAAATCCTTACAAAAAGTTCGATAATATTACATACATATATCGAAATATTTTTATAGGAAAGTTTGGAGAAAATATTTTTTTTATAATGCTCATGTGACTTTATAACTAAATATAATTTTTTTCACATTATTTGTGCCAAATTTTTACAAAAAAGTTCCACAATATTAAAGATACCGAATTATTTTTATATGAATGTTTGGAGAAAATATTTTTTTTATAATGCTCATGTGACTTAATAACTAAATATCATTTTTTTCACATTATTTGTGTTAAATTTTTACAAAAAAGTTCCACAATATTAAAGATATCAAAATATTTTTCTCTGAAAGCTTGGAGAAAATATTTTTTTATAATGCTCAAATATTATTTGACTTTAAAACTTTATATATATTTTTTATAAAGCTCAAATATGTGACTATATGACTTAATATCATTTATTTCACATTATTTGTGTCAATTCTTACAAAAAAGTTCCACAATATTAAAGATACCGAATTATTTTTATATGAAAGTTTGGAGAAAATATTTTTTTTATAATGCTCATGTGACTTTGTAACTAAATATCATTTTTTTCACATTATTTGTGTCAAATTTTTACAAAAAAGTTCCACAATATTAAAGATATCAAAATATTTTTCTCTGAAAGCTTGGAGAAAATATTTTTTTATAATGCCCAAATATTATTTGACTTTATAACTTTATA